GATGCTGGAGCACAGGACGCTCTCCACTGCACACCTGTAGAAGGAGGTGAGGACTGAGCTTCCAGACCAACTTGTCTCAGCTGCCTGAGGAAGCAGAGTCTCTAATTATCTTTCTTCATTAGGCTGGTGGTGTTGTTGCTCCAGCTGAGGTTGTTGTTCAGGTGCACACCCAAGTACTTGTAGCTGGAGACCACTTCCACCACAGATCCTCTTATGTTCAGGGGGTGTAGGTGTGTTTGTTCCTTCTGAAGTCCACGACCATCTCATTCGTCTTCTCATTAATGTGAATGTTATTCTCTTTGCACCAGTTCTCCAGGTGTTCCACCTCCTGCCTGTAGCTGGACTCATCATTGTTTGTGATGCATCCCACCACCGCTGTATCATCTGCAAACTTTACAATGTGACAGCCTGGATGGGTAGCTGCACAATCATACATGAGCAGAGTAAATGGGAGGGGGCTCAACACACATCCCTGAGGAGAGCCAGGGCTGAAGGTTATGGTGGAGGAGGAGAAGTTGTGGATCCTCACTAACTGTGGTCTGTTTGTTAAGAGGTCTAGTACCCAGTTGCAAATGGAGGGGCTTAGTCCTAGTGTGGATAGTTTGTCCATCAGTGTTTGGGGGATCATGGTGTTGAAGGCAGATGTGAAGTCCACAAAGAGCATATGGATGTAAGAGCCTTTCTGCTCCAGGTGGTTGAACGCAGTGTGGACCACAGAGGAGATGGCATCTTCTGTTGATCGGTTCTCACGGTACACATACTGATGAGGGTCCTTGTTGATGTTGATGGTTGTTTTGATGTCAGTTATGACCAGTTTTTTTAAGCACTTAGTGACTATCAGGGTGAGGGCCACTGACCGATAGTCATTCAGACCAGTCACTGTAAAGTTTTTTGGGACTGGGATGATGGTGGCAGTCTTCAGGCAGATGGGAACTGTCTCCAGGGTAAGTGAGGTGTTAAATATGTCTGCCAGCACCTTGCAGAGATGATCGGCACATTCTTTCAACACTTTTCCAGGGATGTTGTCTGGGCCGGTTTACTTTGTGAGGATTGATCCTCCTGAAGGTATTCCTTACTTCTGCTGAGGTCACGCTGAGATGCTCTTCATCTGGTGGTGAGGCGAGTCTGGTACTGAGTGGTCTGTTCGGGTCTTCAAACCATGCATAGAACCTGTTGAGGGCATCAGGCAGAGATGGGTTTTTGGGACATTGTTCACGTCTGCCTTTATAATCTGTTATGCACTTAATGCCCCTCCATATGCTCCATGGGTCTTGTGAGATGAATTGATCCTTGATCCTCTGTGCATATGTGGCCTTGGCCTTCTTAATACCAGCAACCAGCTCTTTCCTTGTCCTTCTCGGCTCTTATGAGTTTCCAGACCTGAAGGCAGTGTTCCTGGCTTCCAGCAGGGTGCGCACCTCTGGATTCAGCAAAGGTTTTCTGTTTGGGTAACTTTATAAGTTGGGTAACTACTTAGTTCCCTAGTTTCCTAGTTACCTAGTTAGTTACCTAGTTACCTTACTTAGTTACCTACTTAGTTACTTACTTGAGCAACTTTTATACTTCACATAACTAACATAAACTAGACAGTTTGCGTGACGGTTATTGCACAGTAACATTGAGATTGATTGAATTTTGATGGTAATGTAGTGGCATACATGAGATATGACATACATGACATACATATAGGATACAGCTACATAGTGCAGCAGCAATAAACATATTAAGTGTCACAGATGTGGCTTGGTGCAGTGATTGTCAGTAGTTCAGTAATCTGACAGCCTGTGTGTAGTAGCTGTCCTTCAGTCTTTTTGTATGTGATGGCAGACTCCTGCATCGTCTGCCTGAGGACAATAGGTGGAAGAGTCCTTGTGCTGGGTGGGTGTGGTCCTTCATGATGCTGCGTGCTTTACACAGACATCATCTGTGGTAGATGTCCTGGATGGTGTGGAGACTGCTACCAGTGATGTGATGTTGTGGGTTGTGTGTAGACCCAAATAGGTGTGTGCCTATCAACAGGGTTGTGTATAAACCTGACAGTTCTTTGTACAGAGAATAAAATATAAATTTAACATGTTCCGCTTACCCAAGTGAGGTAGACACAGGACACGTACCACGCTCTCACTGCAGCCTTTCTCCTCCAAGGGGTCTGAAACTAATCCTGAGGCTCGGGTATTACCTGTAGCTGTTTTTTAGGACAGTTTAGTTTAAGGCTGTGTTGAGATGATTCACCCAGATTGTTAACAACCTCCCATCCATGAACCACACCAAGAATCTCACCTCGTGCCTCGCCCGACCTAGCAGCAGGAGTAGGGACGTTCAGCAGGCGAGGAAGCGCACGTTAACGGTTGCTCATCTCATAATTTAGCGTTACAATTGTTATCCGATCTGGCTTTGTTTAGAATCTAGGTATAAGATTCTTGGATGTTGTTTTATAATCAAAGCTACAAAACCTTTAAAAACCTCCCGTGCTTTTGTTGTTTCAATGAACCAAGTTTTCCACTTCCATGAACAAAGGGGTATTGAAATAAGAATCCAGAATTTTACGTTTTGCTTTGCTTTAATCAATAATTTTGCCGGGGAAACAGCGGTATGCACAATCCAATTACAGTGATTACATTTGATTACAAAGGGGATACATAGTGATTAATACTCAGACTTTAGTTATATTCCAGTTGTTGACCTTTCCTGGGCAAAGTAGTTCTCTGTTCCTGTGGGGAGCTGGAGGATAGTTGTAGGCTTGCTCCGTTCAGCCTCAGATATTTTCCTTCTGGCCGGCCACGCCCTAGGAGTCCTTAGGTGTCCTGACTCACTCAAGCGCTCCAAAACCTCCACAATCTCCTCACACTCACTACCTGCCCCAATACGTTATCTCTCACCACATTAACCAACCTTTGACAACTCCAAGCAATCAAATTTAAAATATAATTGATCTTTCTGCTTGCAATCTTGTAAGCTACCGCTCTGTACCGAGATAAATTTTTATAAAGGACAATATCTGTGAGATGTCTCCTTACCATTGCCTTTTGGTGAAATTCCTGAAAATTCCGTCTCAGTAAGGAGTAGATTTCCCCACTCACACCTGAATGGGGCCGTCTCTGGTCCTACAGCTGGTCAGAATTTGAAGAAAAGGGTTCAAGTGTATAATCTGGGCTGAGGAAGGAAATGACTCCAAACGAAGCCTTTCCATCGGATCTGCCCCAGTTCTTCCTCAGCTGGAACCGTCCAAGACTTGTCCTTACATCCACATGCATCAGTAGTCCAAACAGCCCAGTTTGTTAGTGCAGTCAGTATTTATAGAGTGAGGTTTGACTGACACCTCCGAAAGACCATGCCTCCAGCCTAGTCCATCCTGTTTTGGGCTGGAGTTGGCTCAGGATTTTATGCATGTCCATGGAGATGATTACCTCATACTCATGCATATTAAAATTTGGGTGTAACTTTATTCTGCCCAGTTCTTGTCCGGACTTGTCTGATTCAACTTTTGAGTTGCTTGGAGCTGCTTTAAGGTTAGCCATTGTGAAACTCTCTTTCTTCGCATAACTCATCCTTGCACATTATTTCTGTAAAACACTTCTGAGAAGACAGTTCTCCTTCATCTCAAATTCACATCATGAAATGAAAAAAATACATTTTCAAAATCACAACAGATTATAATTATCAACTTGATTATTTACTTGATTTTGTTTGTAAATCAACAATTCATGTTTTATTTATCTGAAAACTGACAATTTCATTAGGAAAAAGTATTCTCCTTTCTCCTTCACTCTCCTCCTCAGTGCTTTCCTCTGCCCGCGTGTGTGTCCAAGTGTAACTGCATGCGTGTGTACATATGAGTGTGTGTGTGTCCAAGTGTAACTGCCTGCATTTGTACGTGTGAGTGTGTGTGTGCTCAGTGTGCATGTGTGTATGTATGCGTGTGTCTTTCTCCAGCATCTGTTTTCCATTATCACAGGCCTGAACAAGAGCATGCTCGGACATGTCTGAGGGAAGACTGATTCCATCTTAGCGGGCCCTATTGACAAACATCTCTGAATATCTGGGAGTTATTAAATATGAGATTCTCTTATTGCAGAACCTGGACTGAGTAAAAGTGCGGACCATGTATGTTAGTGTGTGTGTATATGTGTGTGTTGTTGCAGACTTACCAGCTGCTGGTATTTGAGCTCATAAAGGATCAGAGATTAGTTGGAAGCATCTGTTCTGTTTGTGCATTTCCATTGTGTTCGTTCACTTGGAGGGAGCGACTCGTTCTAGTTTCACCTCCTCAGCAAACATACTGTCCACTGCGCGTGCACACACACACACACGCACGCACGCACGCACGCATGTACACACACACACACACACACACACACACACGTGTCCATCTCTGTGATGGACGTAAACGTCAAATATCTGAAGCAGAACTAACATCAATCTCTGAGCTCAGCAGGTGTTTTGTTCCTCCTGCAGGAGGTTACAACCTGCAGGAGAACCATCTGAACATCATCTGAAAGAACACTGGTCCATCTGACAAACATGACACAGACAGTTCCTCTCTGCTCATCAGTTCATGCTTCTCCTTTTCTCAGCGGATAAACCCGCTTTACATTCTTGCACTTAAAAGAAGAGCACCGTCGTTCCTACAGTGGCCTCTGCAGGTGCCACCAATCAGGAGGTTTTGGGGGTCCTGCCAGGACCAGATGGGGTTCCGTCAGCAGCCTGCCGGTCCGCTCTCTGCTCTGACACTAATGGAAGTCAGCAGCATTTAAACTGAACGAGTTTTTTAATTAGTGCATCTTAACGAGTCAGCCCTAGTTTCTGATTCTTTGTAGGACAGATGTTTGGTCCCAGCTGTTCTTGTAATGGAACAGATCCAGATGGTTCCGCTCACTTCAGTCACACTCATTACCCATAAGGAGTCGTAATGGAGATGGTTCTGCTGCTGAACTCCAGCAGGTTCAGCAGGTGTGTCTGATCACCTGAACCCTGATCTTCATGTGTGTTTGATGTTTCAGGCCATCATCTATGAAGGTCAGGACAAGAACCCAGAGATGTGCCGAGTTCTGCTGACACACGAGATCATGTGCAGGTAAGAACACCTGAACACACCTGGACCACGATCACTTTAGGTCCTGGTGTTAGAACATCTTATCTGGTCTTATGTAGACCAGACTAAGTTTTATGAGAAGTGAACCAGATCCAGGTCTGCTTGAGGAACAGAACTGAACCACAGAAGGTCATGTTTACAGCAGGTGGTCCAAACGACTGAAAAACTGATCAATCCTACAAAAAGGCCCAGGTTCCTTTAGGACCAGCTCAGTTATCTGGACCAGAATCTTTAAGATGCCTATCTATTTTTTAAACTGTGTTTTAAAATTTTAATGCTAGAATCATTCTAACCTGGAAAGTAACAATGTCTTCAAAAACAGAACCATTTGATGTCCATGTTCTTGATGAGAGGACAAAAACTTCTGACTGAGCCACAGATTCAGAAGCCAGGGCTGGACCTCAGCCTCTTAGACATGACGAAGACTCTGGTCAGATACAAGCTCTAAACGAGAGCACCTCATGGTGCCGTTATAAGGAAAGATCAGCTGAGTGATGGTCCAGCTGTCAGAGCCTGGGACCAGACCAGGACCAGACAAATCCTGACAGGACAGGTGTGACCGGGTGTTTGGACACATTGGAACCTGAAAGCAGGTTCTGAGTATAACAGCTGTTTGTTACTTTGTTTGTTACTCTGTTTATTTGTTGTTCTGTTTGTTTGGTTCTGAGTTTGTTGTTGTTCTGGTTGTGTTTTTCTTGTTTAGTTTGTTGTTGTTTTATTTATTTGGTTCTGAGTTAGTTATTGTTTTGTTTGTTGTTTAGTTTGTTGTTTGGTTTTGAACCAGTTTGACGTGACTGTCAACAAGGAAGAGGGCCGGCTCCAGAGGAAGGGGCGTGCCAAAGACACCATCTTAGCACCAACATAACTGGTTTGTTCCACTTTAGAGTAAGCTGACTCCACTCTGAGCAGCAGTACTTTCCACAGAACAACTGTCAACTCTTGAAACTGTGCCTGCAGTCAACCTACTTCACATATGGGGAGCAATATTATAGGCAGAAACATGGGTGTGCTATGGGGTCTCCAGTTTCTCTTATTGTTGCCAACCTGTACATGGAGGAGGTAGAAAAGAGAGCCTTGACGTCCTTTTCAGGGACACCACCAAGTCATTGGTTCAGGTATGTTGACGACACCTGGGTTAAAATTAAATCTCAGGAAGTCCAACATTTTACTGACCACATCAACTCTGTGGATAAATACATCAAGTTCACACGAGAAGATGTAAAAAATGGCAGGTTGGCTTTCTTGGACTGTGAGGTGTCAGTCTCTGATAGAGGACATTTGCAAACCGAGGTGTACCGCAAACCCACCCACACAGACCAGTATTTGCAGTTTGACTCCCATCACCCTTTGGAGCACAAGTTAGGAGTCATCAGGACTCTGTACCACAGAGCAGACAGCATCCCCACTAGCTCAGGAGCCAGGCAGAAGGAGAAATCCCACACAAGACAGGCTCTAGAGCAATGTGGATATCCTAACTGGGCCTTCCTGAAAGCAGAGAAGAAACCCAAACAGGACTCCAGTCAGCCAACAGGTGAAAAGGAGGAACCCAGACCCAGACCAGTGGTCATTCCATATGTTGAGGGAGTATCAGAGAAACTGAGACGTTTATTTTCTAAACATAACGTCCCAGTGGCTTTTAAACCCCAAAATACATTAAAGACTGGTTCATCCCAAAGATCCAGTCCCCCGGCACAAACAGAGCAATGTTGTGTATGCTGTTCAGTGTCAGGAGGGTGATCAGTCTTACATCGGGGAAACTAAACAGCCACTGGCCAAAAGGATGGACCAGCACAGAAGATCAACATCATCAGGCCAGGACTCTGAGGTCTACACTCATCTCCAGGTCAGAGGTCACTCTTTCAGGGATGAAGATGTTCACATCCTGGACAGAGAGGAACGATGGTTTGAGAGAGGAGTAAAGGAGGCCATCTTTGTGAAAAGAAACCGTCCATCATTAAACAGGGGTGGAGCCTCCAGGTTCAACTGTCCCCCTCTTACAATGCTGTGATTGCTAGTATCACTCAGCCCTCTGTGAATAGTAAACAGCCATCAGGTGCTAATGATCCATTGTTAGGCTGATGGTCCTTCTTGAGCATGTGATCAGCTGGTTCTGGTTGTCAGCAGCAAACTGGTTGATCCACTCTGAGAAGGTGATATTTAAGAGACTGAGCTGAAAACAGCACCTCAGACTGAAGAAGTCTCTCGGATGAGAAACGAAACATTTCTAATTTTTTTTGTTATTTTGCTTGTTTTGTTTTTTGAATGTCCAGAGGACCAGATTTAACTTTTTTTTAAATTTTTTTTTTTACGATTTTTCTACCTGGATTATTGAGCATGCATCAGGATATTTAGAGTAAGCTGTTTGGGGGAAGAATCAGTTTTGTGTTGTATGTTTCCTTGACTGATGCAGCCTTCTGGATAGAAGGTGAAATGTTTCAGCACAAAAAAGAAACTGTCCAGATGACCTGCCTGAAAATAGTTGGTTTGTTGTTTAGAATTTCTTGTTGTTTTATTTGTTGTTTTCTTTTTTGTTTGTTTGTTGTTGTTTAGTTTGTTTGGTTCAGAGTTTGTTGTTGTGCTGTTTGTTGTTTACTTTGTTGTTGTTCTGTAATTTTTTGTTGTTGTTTAGAGATTTGTTGTTTTCTTTCTTGTTCCGGGTTCGTAGTTGCTCTGTTTGTGTTTTTGTTTGTTGTTTAGTATGTTGTTGTTTTGGTTGTTCTGAGTTTCTTGTTGTTCTATTTGTTGTTTAGAATTTTGTTTAGAATTTCTTGTTGTTTTATTTGTTGTTCAGCAGATTTGATGTTTAGTTTGTTGTTGTTTTTGTTTTGTTTGTTTGGTTCAGAGTTAGTTGTTGTTTTGTTTGTTGCTGAGAGTTAGTTGTTGTTTTGTCTGTTTGGTTCAGAGTTAGTTGTTGTTTTGTTTGTTGTTGAGAGTTAGTTGTTGTTTTATTTGTTTGGTTCAGAGTTTGTTTTTGTTTTGTTTGTTGTTGAGAGTTAGTTGTTGTTTTGTTTGTTGTTGAGACCAGCCTGTCTGCTCTGTTTCCTGAACGAATGTGTTTTTTCTCGTCCTCACAGCTGATCCCAATCACCCAGGTGTTCCTCTTCTCACCTCTTTAGTGTCTGTATTTCATCTACATGTTTTCACTCCCTTGTCATGTGGTCTTTGTTCTTTCCATGGAGTCGTGATCTGTCTCTATTCCACCTGTCATTTTCTGCTGACAGTACTTTGTTTTTGTTCACTAAATTATTATTTTTACTCATGAGTCCTCCTGCCTTCCTGGATGTGGTTTCAACACATTAAACTCCAGATCACGTCAGCTGTTTTGTTTGTTGTTGTTCTGTTTGTTTGTTGTTCAGAGTTTATTCTGTTTTTTCAGCCGCTGCTGTGATAAGAAGAGCTGTGGGAACAGAAACGAGACGCCGTCAGACCCCGTCATCATTGACAGGTAACACTGCTCAGTTTCTGCTGGACGAGTTTCCCTCTTCAGTTCGTATTCAGACCATCGTGTCAGTCTGCTGGGGAGGCTTCTGTCACCGCAACACAAGTCAGAGTTTCTTTATTGTCATTCGCACCTCATGTGGTACATGTGGTGGAGCGAAATTATGTACACAGGGTCCCAGTTACATCCAACAATAAAATGTCTAAGAAAAACAGTAATAACATCTAAGATATGAACTAAGAAAAACATCAACTAAATATACACTAAGCACTCATAACATAAAACATTGAACATCAGCACAAATATGAACATGAGTCTGTGAGCAGATGTGCACGCATGAACACATCAACATTGAAACAGATCAGCAGTAACATGAAACAGATCAGCAGCAACATGATATGGTTTTTCACAGTGATTATTCTGGTTAGAGATTCATGAGTCTAACAGCCTCAGGGTAGAAGCTGTTCCTCAGTCTAGTGGTTCTACACTTAATGCTCCTTAACCTCCTTCCTGAGGGGAGCAGGGCAAAAAGTGTGTGTGCTGGGTGGGTGTGGTCCTTCATGATGCAGGTGGCCCTCTTCCTGCATCTGGAGGTGTAGATGTCTGTGATGGTGGGGAGACTGACTCCAACATCTTCTGTGCAGCCTTCACCACTCTCTGCAAAGCTTTTCTTTCTGCAGCTGTGCAGCCTCCATGCCACACGTTGATGCTGGAGCACAGGATGCTCTCCACTGCACACCTGTAGAAGGAGGTGAGGACTGAGCTTCCCAGACCAGCTCG